ATTTTTGCAATGTCGTCCGATAAAATTCAGCTAAGATTGTTATTGGTAGGTAACATGCTTACTGAGTTGATGGACTCGGTACTATTATAAGTCATTACACTATACCGCAATCCAGGGAAGTGCGATCTTGCCCATCTAGCATAACCAACTTCCTCAAGATTTTGAGCGATGTTTAGGTAGATTGTGTCGCATTAAATCCATTGTAGCTTCAAAGTCTGACAACCTATAAGATTTGCATGCATCCCAGAACATCCACCTTTTTCTTGTCTCTTTCGATATTAGGCGCAAGTTCTGAATCAAATGCCGTCAAGAAAGTCTGTGATGCACGGTAGGGAATACCTTCTAATGGCCAACTCAATAGAAGCAGCTCTATCAATTACTAAGGTTGAATTGAGCACTTCACCAATACATTGTCTCAACTTATATTAAAATCATGTCCATGATGGGCCATTTGCTATCTTTCTCACTCCCATTGCAATGGGTACGATCTGGTTGTTTTCATCCATGCCAACTACTAAGAACATGGTACCCACGTATGACCTCTTCAGATGGACACCGTCCATTATAAGAAGCGGTTACATGTGTCCTAAAACCAAACAAATCTGCAGATGAACGAAGTCACAAACATAAACTTCAAACCATAAAATAAAATTATGAATTCAAACAATATAATAAAAATTATTACCGGTCAATCAAGTGCGACAACACAACATGTGGAATCGTCCTAATGTATCAAGGGCGATTTCAGTCACAATCCTCGGACTCGTTGTCTTTAGATTGTAACAATAAATCGGAAGTAGGTTAAACGACGATTTAGGATCCCCTCAACAGTTGTAAAGCATACATATTTGCTCGTCATGCTTGGTTGTAGGAGATGCTAATATTGAACGTTCGTTCACATCTTTCATGATTTCTTTTCCATGGTAGACTCTCCCGCAGTCATTACGGTGGGTTGGATGGACTTCGGACCTTGAACAAATGTGTTCATCATGCAATGTTTGAACCTGAAACATATTGGTACCATCGATAGAAACCGCCAAAATGCCAATATCAGTCTGAAGAGTGACACACTGCCTCGTGACGGTGTTTGGATGATCTTTTAACGTTTTATTTGGAAGTGTCAGCTTCAATGCTTCATTCGAGTAAAAGGTTTGTAGAACTTTTGCATGTGATGTAGGCTAGTAGGAAAAGTTTCTTATGGGTTTGATAACGGGGGCAGGGCAAGGTGTTGGGTCGAGCATAACCCAAAAACTATTCCTTACCAGATGGATTTCTTCATCATCCGAGTTATTGTCTTCGGGTATATTCAAAATTTCTGCTACAATAGAAACGTCTTCATCCTTATTTGCCTCTCACAATTTTGACTGTTTCGGAGACTAGTTAGTAGAGTGGTTTAGGGACTGGTTCAAATTGAACCATAAAACTATCATGATCAAAATCATTCATCGGTTAAAAAACCTCAGTCGGTTGGGTTTGATACCGTTGCTTTACTATTTGCATCTTCGACACATGAACAAAATTATCAGGTTCATTCATTACGATGGCACCATGTTGATTTATTCCAGCAGCATTGTAGATATGAGCGCCACTACAACCAGGAAATTAACTACCGGTTTGATTGATTTCGACAGAAAAATATGGATTTCCACCACTACCACCAGGGACGAAACTGTTTAGTTGATTTATTCCGACAGTAAAATATGGAATTCCTCTACTACCACCATAAAAGGAAAATCCCGATTGATTGATTCCAGTAGAACCATAGGGATTTCCACCACTATCACTAGGGTAAAAAGTACCTATTTGATTGATTCCAGAAGAACCATATGGTTTGCACCACTACCGCAAGGGAAAAACATATTTGGTTGATGGATCTCCACCATCACCACCACCGTCGACAACAAAGAGTGTCAAAATTTGCGATAAATTTTGATGAACGACATTTTGGAACATCACCACATTGTCGTTGTCAGCTTGCTCAAACAACTCACAACTCAAAAGATTTTTATAAAATAACCTAAAACAACTACGTAAACTTAGCTTTTTTGCAACACGTTTAACCAAACCAGAATGTGTTATTGCCGAAGAAAAAGATAATATACGTTTGGACGCTCCTAACGACATATACTCTATAACACCATTTCTCGTCTGGAACGAAATGCCACTTTGAACATACATGGAACCATTATTCACTTTGACATTGATTCATATTTGTATTAAGAATTGTGATGATAGATTGTGTTTAAGGGTTAAGAGTTTTGAGAGTAGAAGTGTTTAAATTACTACTTTTTCATATTTGGATTATTACAGTTATATATACTACATTTGGTCCTAAAAAAGACAAAACATCAATGAAAATCAACCCGATGTATAGTCACGCTGTCATTGAGTTGTCAAATCAACTAAAAGTTACGTCATAAAATGTCTCCACTACAAGACATAATAAGGGTCAAAATCACCCCCTAAGGGAGAATTTCAATATATTGGGATGATTTTGATGAAAGTGTCAAAAAAATCAGATTTTTGTCACCCAATAGTATATATACATGTGTGACCCATCCGCACTTCAAATCATGAAATCCCCCTACCCCATAAAGTAAATCTTCTATGAGGATGATTTTTGTGGTCATTTTGTGAGAAAAGTCTGAAAAGTGATCATTTTATTAGCATACTGTATATAAAATAGTCATTTTGGGTAATTTCCCATTTTTAAAATACGACTATCTAATTCAACAAATATTAGTAATATACGTTACAAATTGCTAGTATAAATTTATTAACTCCGTAATTAAAAAAATACATTACAATCTACAATTATAAATTATTTAATTGCTTCTAAAAACTCAAGGAGGATATCTTCATGTTAACTATATTTCAAAACCAAAAAGTCATTTAAATTATATAAGAATTAAAACTATTTTTTATAATTCTTTTAAAATACAGAACGAAAAGTTAAAATCCTTAAAACGAATTACATTTTAACTTTAATAAATTTCATCATTAATTATATTATTTTAATATTCTATAATTTAATAATTCGAATAAAAAACTTTATATAAAATAATAATTATTTAACTCTCGTTGGTGTATTAAATAAAAAAATCATTTCTTTTTCTTCTCTTTAAAGTTTTATAGAATTTTTTATATTAAGAGTTTTCTCCATAATTTTCTATTTTCAATAATAAGATAGAAAAACTGTTAGAGCATTTTAGAGAAAAAACTTATGTTTTTTTTATATTTAAAAACAAATTGTTGTCATAAATTGCCTTCTAAAAGTTATTTTAGGGGGCGTTTATTAAATGCTTACCTGATAAATGTTTACCGGATAATTTTTCTCATCGGATGAACACAGCAAGACTCAAGAATCTTACCTAGTAAGAGTGATTATAAGAATAAAGAGTCTTACCCGGTAAGTGAGGGTAACGACTCTTACCCGGGTAAGTATTTACCAAGTAAATTGTTGCATATCATTTCATTTTGATGTACTACGATCTTATCCATAAAATATTGAAATTAGTTTTTTCATTAATAGAAAGAGCATGTTTTTCAATCGAAAAAGATCGGTTTGAAAAAAAACTTGTCTTTCTGTATAAGGTTTTCCGTTAAAAACTTAATGAAATAAGTCGGCTTACATATTATCAAACTACCATTACGCGATCATATATAACTGATCGAATAAGTTATAAATCAATTAATCTGATTTACTTCTTAACAAAGAAGTTTTTTTTTTTTTAAACTATTTGTACATTTTTTTTATTAACCTGTATATCCAACCTGCTATGCGAGCCGACTAATTCTAATGCGACCATCTGCTTTGCTCATAGTCCGGAATCACCGCATTTGAACCTCCATGGCCACAAGGAGATTTTTATTACTCATTGGATTTGAACCTAGGATCTCCTGATACTTTTGACCTTTGGAGCCAAGTTAAAACCAATCAGACACCACACTTGTGGTTAACTATTTGTACATTTAGCTACCCAAATATCACATATTATGATCACTGGAAATGAAATCTTTTTGGTTTTTATTAATAATTGTTCTTAATTTGTATTAATGTATTAATATTAAATTATATATCGAACTTAAAATGTTGTTTTCTAAGGGAGTGTTTGAGATTGCTTATAAAAATAACTTATTAACTTATTCCGATATAACACCGATAATAAATACTTTTACTTGTTTTGATAAACAATTTATACCGATACCAAACTGATAATAAAGGGTTTTTAAAAAAATTAAACAATTATAACTTATAACAAATAAATAAACACTTTTATAAAAAAACATAACTTATTTCAGATAAGCAATTCCAACCCCTCCTAGTATTATGACATGACACTAGCTCTTGGTCTGTTTTAATTAGCCATCATCATTATTAGATAGATCAAATACAATGATTATCCTAAATGGACGAGTAAATTACAAATTTGGTCCCTGTGATTTGTTAAAAATAACATTTTTTATCCATAAAGTTTCAAAATTACAACGTAATCATCATGGTTTGTAAAAAGATCCAAATTTGCTTTACTCCTCTTCATTAAAGAACTTTATTAAATGAGGGACATTTCTGACATTTTAACTATTTTTTTTTGTCTCTTAACCAATCAAAACCGACTTTATGATTTGGTTCATGTGGTTTTCAATTGGGTAGAAGGTAAAAAAGATATGTAAAATTATAAAAAGACAAAAATACCCTTCATTTAGTAAAATCTTTTGACAGGTGTTCAAATGCGCACATTTTTACAAACTACGATAATCATTTTGGGATCTCGAAAATACAAATGAAAAATGTTATATTTAACAAACCACGGGGACTAAATTTGTAGTTTGCTCTAAAAATTATGATTAAATTGTAAAAGGTGTAGTTTTTTTTAGTCTTTTAATAAATAAAAAAGAAAATAGATAAATAAACCCGTCCCCATTTTGTTAGTTGAAGACACACACACACTGGGTCTGGACTCTGCCACTCTCTCTTCTCTTTCTAAAAAATCAGGCGCCAGTTAGCCTGCGCCACCGCACCGGCCGGTGAAAATAGAGCTTTTCCGACATGGGTTGCACCGCATCAAAGTTAGGTAACGAGGATTCAGTCAGACGTTGCAAGGATCGCCGCCGTCTCATGAAGGAAGCTGTCTACGCCCGCCATCACCTCGCCGCTGCTCACTCCGACTACTGCCGTTCCCTAAAAATCACCGGATCCGCACTCGCTACCTTCGCCGCCGGAGAACCCCTTTCCGTCGCCGACCAAACCCCTGCCGTACTACTCCGCACTCGTTCCTCTACCTCCACAACCACCACCGTCAAACCCCCTTCCTTTCATACCTACGAGACACCAAAACCGCCGCCGCCGCCGCCGTTGCAGGTTCCCCGATCTCCCTCTGTTGCGAGCTCCAAACTTCCACCCATTCTCTCTGCTGCCCCTAGCCGTACCGCCTCCATTAATCATCATCAACGTCGCCCTAAGCCCACTGTCAAACTTCCTCACATTCTTTCGGAATCAAGCGAAGCTTCTACTTCTCCACCTCCCAAATCTTTCCACCATCCTCCTCGTGAAAACCCAGAAAATAATTACAGCTACAATCCAGATAAATACACATACAATGCGCAAGCTAATTACGCATCAACCCCTTCGCAAGCTTCCTCCGTCTGGAATTGGGAAAACTTCTACCCTCCATCGCCGCCCGATTCCGAATACTTCAACCAACGACAACCAAATTTCGATACCGAAGACGACAAATCCTCAATCTATTCGGGTTACAAAGAGCAGGGACATCGAGAAAACAATGAAGACAAGCGTTCGGTTTATTCGAATTATTCACAGAAGAATCACCAGCATCATCCGAAAACTCAAACTCATCAACAACAAGATGATTACCATCTCGAAACGGAAGATGATGGGGAGAGAGAAGAGAGAGAAGAGAGAGAAGAGGTACAATGTAGCGAATGGGGCGATCACTACAGCACCACCAGCTCCACTTCCGATGATGATGATGAAGAAATTGATCGAGACTCCAGATCCGAGATGGAGAGTCGCTCTAATTTCGGATCCTCAGTTCATAATGAATCGGTAGCTCCACCACCTTCTGCCTTCGCCTCTGCCCCCAAATCGAAGTTCTCAACAATGAGTAAATCCGAAAAGTCTGACGATGCTGGGTCATCGGCAAGCTGGAAAACCGGCCACTACGATGATAATTCCGATATGAGGATGGTGATTAGGCACCGGGATCTAACTGAAATCGTTGCTTCTATCAAAGAATACTTCGATAAGGCGGCTGACGCCGGTGACCAAGTCTCAGTGATGCTGGAAACCGGCAGAGCCCAGCTCGACCGGAGTTTTCGCCAATTGAAAAGTAAGAATTCCCCCCATAAATTTTGATAATTTCAAACTGGGTATATGAATTTATATTGAATTTTCGAATTGGATTGCAGAAACGGTGTATCATTCAAGTGGGATGTTAACTAATTTGAGCTCAAGCTGGACTTCGAAGCCACCATTGGCAGTTAAGTACCGGTTTGAACCCGGTTCAATTGGTGAACCAGGAGCCTCAAATAGTCTCTGTTCAACACTGGAGCGGCTCTTGGCTTGGGAAATGAAACTCTACAAAGAAGTAAAGGTAACCGAATTACTCTTCTAATATTATGCATCAATAGTTTGTACCGTACAAATGGCTGATAAACACAGACATTTCTTCCGACACCAAACATTATTATACAATATTACTTTGTTTTTTTGTGGTGCCTTTTTCTCCAAATTTTTCAAACAAGATCTTGAAATAAAGATGTGCGATGGTGGAAAAAAGTGGCCTTTGATGATGATGGTAATAGTAATAATCTTTAGTGGGAATTTTCTGTAAATGACGAAAATGACCCTGGTCAATGAATGGCAGGCTCATAGATTTTGACCAATTCTTCTTTTTTACCATTGTGGGTGCCATTGGTGTGTTCACTATCTTGGAATGGTTATATCCATTGTGCAATAGAAATGGGTTTCTTGAAAAAGTGATTATATAATGGCTAAATAAGAGGTGTAATAGTCTTACCATGTATGACTTATGCTTTAAGGCCTTCAACTATGGTGAAATTATCAAAATTTATTTGTTAAGTGTCACGGTAGCTTTAATAATTACTGTACAAGGGTGGTGCCTGATTGGTTTGAGCTTGGCTTCCAAGGTCAAAAGTACCTGGAGGTCTCAGGTTCAAGTCCAACGAGGAATAAGAATCTCCTTGTGGCCACGGAGGTTCAAATGCGGTGACTTCGGATTATCTGCAAAGCAGATGGTTGTCCTGAGATTAGTCGGCTCGCATAGCGGGTTGGATATCCAGGTTAATCAAAAAAAAAATTACTATGTCATCCTCGTGTCTCTTTTGAGTGAGCCTAAATGAAACACTTACAAATTCTCTCTTACACATGTCATTATCAAATATTCTTTTTTTTTTTTTGCAATTTCAAGATATTGATTTGATTCAAAGAAGGTTTATTTAGCAACACGCTCATTTTTTTCTCGTTGGTATCAATTCTTTTAAAGTTACATCCATAAGCGGGCGACATGAAAGGGATGCAAGGCATGTTTTTGCATGGATCTTTTTGGGTGGTTGGATGAAAGATGTCATCTGCTGTAGATAAAAAAAGGGACATCTTGAAATGGGTATTGTTTTATCTGGATTATACTTTGTTGCAAATTGGCCAAAATGCTTGCTAGTTTTATCTGGTACCATGTCTGTCTCATTGGCCAAAATGCTGGAAATGGGTATGTTGATTTTTTTCCTAAAACTTGCTTTGTTGTGAAATGACCAAGTTGCCCCCTGGAAGTTTTAGCTGGTAGCCTGACCATGTATGACACATTGTGCTATACAAAAGAGTATCTTGAATCATCTGTTTTTTCTTTTCAGGTTTTAAGTTATTGGGTAATGCCCAAAGGCTGGAAATCACCTTTACAAAAACAAAAAGAATAAAGCTTGTTGTGTAATGACCAAAGTGCCCCTGTAAGTAGAGTAACTGGGAGTCTGACCAAGTATGACAAATCTTTGTCTGTCCTCATATTTGGAAAGAAGGCCAGTGGGCTATGTATGCCTGCCTGCCTGCCCAACTGACGAAAGTATTTTTTGGTTTTACATGCCTAGCAGGCAACAACAATGTTTACTGGTTACTGCTAAAACCAAATTCCATGTTATCTTGTTGTTACGTTTTGGCAGAGGTTTGTTTAAACTATGAACATGAAATGATTGATGTCATATTCATTCTTGTCCTGTGTTCTTTGGGGATTCCCATGAAATTTGCAACATTTCTCTTTTTAGAAGTGCCCAACTTAAATCTACAAATTTATCAATTATCAATTTCACAAATGAATTGATGGTGTTGGTTTCAATCTATATAACTCCAGCATATGGTCTTTGCAGATTGATATCTTATATCAAGTGAATTAGATTTCAGCCATTCTTTTGGGAAAAAAGCCATTGTACTTATAAATGCAAACAACCACCAAAGTTTGCAATTCCTTGTGTTCTTGCCACCAAATTTGTCTCTCCACTGCTGAACAACCACTGTACTTTGTTAACGATTGGTAAAAAGCACAAGAAATTGAAAACCTTGGTTGCTTTTATTTCTTTTTTTGCATTTTTTAAGGCGCAAGATGTACTCTGGTGCTAGAGATTTAACTTCAAGTGGTCTGACTCCATTTGGTTCAGGGATATAGCTCAGTTGGTAGAACTCTGCTCTTGCCATTTAGTCTTTTTTTTTTTTGCTCATTAGAGAACAACTGAATCGCCTTCCTTCATCTATTTAGCATTGTTACTATATTAGAGTTATCGATGCCTCATTTGTAAATTATTCTTCATTTGTTTTGATAATTTTATTTCTTTCTTCGTTTTAATTGACGGGTCCTGAAAATGTAGGAAAATTGGCAAATTGTCTTAAGAATGAGGTTTAGAATCTCACTATTCGTCTAGGTTATTTCACATTTCCATTTCATTGGTCCTATCCATATGATGTAAGAAGAAATGACGATCCGATTGTGGGTCACGTTTTGCTTATATAGAGACCTTGATCTTCCAAACAGTAAAGAGTACTGATTTATAAACCACTGTGATGAAATTTTTTAGGCAAGAGAAGGAGTGAAAATTGAGCATGAGAGGAAATTATCTTCACTTCAGAGCCAAGAATACAAAGGGGAAGACGAAAGTAAACTGAACAAAACAAAGGCGTCGATAAACAGGCTGCATTCCCTAATAGTCGTTACATCTCAGGCTGTATCGACCACCTCTACGGCTATTGTTGGCCTACGAGATGCTGAGCTTGTTCCACAGCTTGTTGAACTCTGTCATGGGTAAGTAACTACTAACGAAATTTCTCAGTTTCAGGTGCGATATGCACAGGTTCACATATACATTGTATTGTGTTATTACTGTTTGCTTATAAGATTGACCTCCATGGCTGCATTTGGTACGCTGGATAGAAGAGAATGAAAAGTTGTTGCCCCATGTTTGGCGCAACATTAGACTAAGACAGTGTGGGACGGAGTGGGACAAAATTGCATTTCCTTTTCCAAAATAAGGGAGAAGGACAAGATTGGTGAATTACCAAACTAGCCATGTCTTAAAACCCTAAACCTTCTACAATTCTTTCACTCGGCAGCCCCACTCTCGTTTGTCTAGTTCTGTCTAGTCCCATCTGCATACGTACCCTAGAAGAATGAACATTCAGTATATTTGTATATTTTTCCATAAAACCAAATATTAAGTGTCGAATGGCCACAAGCTTCTCCCAAACTCCTCATTCTTACAAAATATAGTATGTTTGTCGTTTTCAGAAGACAATGGTTTCGTTTGCAACAGAAAAAACAAAGTACGATAGTTTGAAAAGTTAGTCATCGCTGTAAAAATTAAATGGAAAATGTTGTTTTGATGTGTAATAATACATTTGAACACTTGGAATACTTTAGTACATAAAAATTATTGGCAATGTTCATTTGGGGAGGTCAAGGGCTTTGAACTTTTATTAAATGCAGGAATCTCTGTTTGTTGACCAACTGTCCTTGACCAGAGTAAAAGGGCCATGGTCCAAAACCTGTCTTTGTTGGTTTAACAATTTTTGCTTTTTTATTTTCTTGAAATGATGAAAGAATTGTGGAAGGTTTTAGGGATTTGTTTTGACATGGGTAGTTTAGTAATTTACCAATCTTGTTTCATCTATTTTGATGGTATAGTGAAAAGCATTTTTGTCCCACCCAGTACTGTCTTGTCCTGTCCCAGTTGAGTTGCCCGCCAAATGTGGGACCACTAGTTTTTGTTCAGTCATGTCCTCTCTGTCCTATCCGGCGTACCACATGCACCCCAGGGGTTCCAATGTAAGAGGTAGCTATAGCTTGAAAAACTTCCTGAAAAAAGAAATGTTGTGATTTTAATGGAATGGAGTGAGTACTTGATATTTGAACAAATGCAGGTTTATGTACATGTGGAGATCTATGAACCAATGCCATGAAGTCCAGAACCATGTTGTTCAACAAGTTCGGGGACTAGTCAACCGTTCCACCAAAGGCGAGTCAACCTCCGACCTCCACCGCCAAGCTACTCGTGATCTTGAAGCAGCCGTGTCGGCCTGGCACACCAGTTTCTGCCGTTTGATAAAATTCCAAAGAGATTTCATCAAATCTCTCCACGGATGGTTCAAACTCACTCTTCTTCCCATCAACACCGAAGAAGCAAACATCAACGGCTCTCAACCCTCCGAGGTTTACTTGCTGTTCGATGAGTGGAAACTAGCCCTTGATCGCTTGCCCGACACAGTGGCTTCCGAAGCCATTAAAAGCTTCATAAACGTCGTCCACTCAATATCTTTGAAACAAGCAGAGGAAATGAAGGTCAAGAAACGCACGGAATCAGCATCAAAAGAGCTGGAGAAAAAGGCATCATCTTTAAGAACCATAGAAAAGAAATACTACCATTCCTACTCCATGGTCGGACTCGGGCTCCCGGACAGCGGACCAGACAACGGACACGGGTTGGACGCGCGGGACCCGCTTTCAGAGAAAAAGAGCGAACTGGTGGTGTGTCAGAGACGGGTGGAAGACGAAATGGTTCGGCATTCGAAGGCAGTGGAGGTAACAAGAGCGATGACTCTAAACAACATTCAAACAGGTCTGCCTGGAGTATTTCAAGCCATGACAAGCTTTTCTGGTTTGATAATGGAGGCACTTGAAGTTGTGTGCAACAAGTCTTATGCCATTAAATAGCTTCTGCCTTTGAATGTTAAATTTCCCAATTTCAAGACAAGATAAGATTTAGGGTTATGATTCATAGAGTTATATGTGTTATGAAGAGGAGGGGGTTAAAGATATGAATTTTTGAGGAGGGTTTTGATGTGTTAACAAATGTAGATATAAAATGTGGGGAATTTTTGGGTTATTTTTGTTGTTGTTTTTCGTTTTTGGGGAAAGAGAGAAGAAGAAAGCTATAGATGGAGATTGCTTTTGTATTACAAGTTCGCTTTTTCCATACATAATATTTGATATGTATAATATTTGTATTTGAATTTTTATTTTTATTTATGGGTATGTGGAAATAAATAAATGTGTCATACTGAATCCTATATACCAATCGTTTTATTTTTTGGAATCCAGATTGTGTATGCGTTTATATTATTCAAAAACTTTTTATTACCGGTTTGACACCGGTATAAGTTGTTTATCCAAACACTCAAAAATGCTTATTACCGGTGTCACACCCCGAAATAAGTCAATAAGTTGTTTTTATAACTTATAAGCAATTCCAAACACCCCCTTATCTATACTATATTATAAATCATTTGACCAAAATTCTTAAAAATCATTTTTTATGCACAAGATACTGTTTATTGATGCATATTACTTAAAATTTAAGATTACAACTAAATTATGCATAAGTACAACTTATTAAAGCTCCATATTTGAATTTGTGTAACTAAATGCAGATAAACAAAATCAAATATTGGATAAACATCTTATTTTAAATATATACATTTAAAATATAATTAAAATAACCACTGTGTTCTAACATAATATTTTAGTTATTATCTTTATAAAAAATTATATTATTAAACCTAAATTAAATTTCTTTGTTACTAAACCAAATTAAATTATAATTGAAAATTTGAATTAAAAAAATTTCATCAAAACACAAGAGTTTTTAAAAAAGGTTAATTTGATATTGATATCAACATTATTTTTTTTCAAATTTTTTCAAAATTTTATAATATTTTCAAAATTATATTTTATTTAAAGATAAAAATATTATGATTTTCTCTCAAAACTACATAAAACCATATTATATTAACATAAAAAAGGAATAAAACGAAATATTGAAATCAAGATGTATTTCAATGTATTACACAAGTACTCTTCTAGTTATATTATAATAAATTACAAACTTTCCATTTTTCACACACTTCAAGTTCAGAAAATTGTTGTTATTAAAATAATAATAAAAGATATGGAAATTTATTTTTATAAAATAGAGAATTATATATATATATATATATATATAAAGTGCATTGATATGATAGCTTATAGAATATAATGAATATTGAAATTTATAAAATAAAAAATTTATCAGAAATAAATATAAATTATTTTAAAGATTTTAATATTTAATATTTTATGTTAAAAAACTTACAGATGCTCTAAACAGAGTATTACATGGAAATGAGAAGGTAAAACGTACATTTACACGTCTGAACCCGAATCCCAATATGAGACATGGCATGGGAATTGCAGTTGCTTTAAAACATGAAAGATTTTGTTGGGTTTTTCCTTTTGAGTAAATTATGCTTTTTGTCCCAAAAATTAGTAGTTTTTGTTTTTATGATTTTAAAACTTTGATTTATATTTTTATGGTTTGTAATTTATTTTTATTTTCATCCTCAAAAACAAAACACTATTTTTAAGTATGAAGAACTAAAATATAAATGAATTATAAACTATATAAATAAAAAAAGAAATGAATATTAAATCATAAGTACAAAAAAAATAATAAATCCCGTTGAAGCCTTCTAGTAGCCAACAGTGTTATGATACCACTCTGCCAACTCTCACCTCTTTGAAAACCCAATATAAACAAGAAAGTTGTCTCGACATTTGTCTTTCTGAATGACTGTTGGATTCCATTATCATCTGCATCCGGATGGTGTGGCTTATGTTTCAGTTGGGGTACGAGAATACATCGAGAACGTAATGGAAAGAAGATCGGGGTGGCGGTTTCTCAAGTGGAGTAAGGGTCCTAGGTTTTAGTTTTTAGGGTGATGTTTATACATATAATATTACTATTAAAATACAATAATTATAATATAATATAATGTACTTTTAGAAGTTTTTAATATAAATTTAGAAAATGAAGTGACTAATATCTATACTATATTATAAAGCATTTGACTCAATCTCTTAAAAACTATTTTTTATGCATGAAATACTGTTTATTGATGCATATTATTTAAAAATTCAAGATTATAAGTAAATTGTGCCTAAGTACAACTTATTAAAGTTTCATGTTTAAATTCATATAACTAACTTCTGATAAACATTTTATTCTAAATATAAAAAAAAACTAAAATATAATTAGGATAATCATTAGGTTCTAACAAAATACTTAATTATTATTTTAATAAAAAAATTTATATTATTAAACCAAAAATAAAAAATAATTAAAGAAATACAAAAAAAGGAAAATTTTTAAGTATTTAGTTTGGTACTAATATCAGTATTTATTTTTTTATTTTTTATGATTTGTTCATATTAATATTTTATTTAAAAATAAAAACATTACTGTTTTCTCAAAACCACATAAAACCGTATCATAACATCGACTAAGACAAAAAAAAAATGAAACACTAAAATCGAGATGTATCTCGCTGCATTGTACGAGTACCCTTCTAGTATTATCCAAATTAAGTCACTTAACAGAATTAAAGGTTAGGATCTAATACGTTATAAATTGTAAACTACATAATCCGTAATTATTTAAAAATAATAATATATTATAACATATAAACCATAGGGACAAAAACATGCAATTTACTATGTTAATTAACAACTCAACAAGTTGGTGTTTAATATTAATTAAAATGTTGGTACATAGAAGAGAAACACCAACTTTGTGTACTTTTGTTGTCCCAAAAAGGCACCTACTACCACCACTACCAACTTAGGAATATGCCCTTTCCTTTACTTTACATGCTCCGTCTTAAAATAACATCTTTAACATATAGTTAGAAAAATCCGATCAACCCAACATAAAATAACTCAGTCCGAAGCAACTCGATATCTAATCGAGTTGTAAAATTTTCAAACCGTAGGTATTGGGTTGCCATTATTTGAATCCAATCTAACCCAATGAACCCGATATTCTTTTATTTTTTGGACTTAATATAATCGTTAAATTTATATTAATATATACATTAGACAGTTACACTATCACATACGTTCTTCAGATACACATATTTTCAATCTATTCACATCTTTATATAACTTATTTGTATATATGTTCAGTAATTGTGAACATATATATGTAAATTAAGAAAACTAACTCAACATGATATATGTAAGAAGTATGGATAAGTTGTATCAAATGGTTGTTGATGAAAATAAATTATGAGTAAAAAAATAACATATTCTAGGTTAGAAGAATATTTTAATGTACCAAAGTATCAACCCGACCAACCCGTATGGGTTGGGTTGGGTTGGGTTAAGATTTTTCCAAATCGCAAGCATTGAGTTGGGTTGTTCAAATGTCTTCAACCCGATCAACACAACCCATGAACACCCCTACATATAGTTATCACTTTTTCAAAATAAGTATCATAAAAGAATTGCAACAGCTAAATGATGGTCTGCAATATCGGTTAGCCATAGATCTTGTTACTAGGTCTCAAGGACAAAAGGTGATGTTGCTTTTTCAAAGTAAGAAGATGTAGAGAAAATGTCTTAATTAATGTTTGAGGACCAGGTACGACGTCGGTATTAACTCTTGGCCTTCCAATTGAAAAACAATGTCGATGAAGGGGTGTAGGTGTGCATTATTCCGCAGTGGGGATTGTAACTTTCTATAAATTTTCCGTTTGTCATCCAACGATCGGATTTTGCTTATTTCTTTTTTTTTTAATGATCGACAAATCAAATGATATTTCCGTTACAAAACAGGTGAACATGATACCATGTTTTTTTTATATACCGCGTATCAATCAATTATAACTGGTACGTAAAATTTTATACCATGTACCAAACAACTATATTTGATACCAATTTTTTTTTTCTTCAGTTGGTACGATTTTGTACCAACATCATAAAAGTTGAAGTTATAAATTTATTTATATTAACGTTTTTACCAACTAGATTTAGATGCACTAGACAATCAAACATTCATATAACATGTTAATATGTATTGTACCACTTATATATATATGCGTTCAAATATAATACAAATATTCATTAGTAGTCTAATTGAAAAGGCCATTGGAGAGCAACAATAAATTTTATAAGTATGAACGAGTTACTAAGATTGTTGGATTTAGGCGAATATATTCAATCAAATTATGTATATATATCCATAGTTTAGCAAAATTGAAATAAGATAACTAATTTAAAAAAAAAAAAAACAAATTATGTTGTATTATTGATTAAACTTAAATCTATAAAAATAATTAAAAAACAAGTCAGTATGATATGCTATTACATCTTCTGTAAATGTACTAAAGTCAGATTTTGAGCAGCGTCATGTGCATCCGCTCAACCAATTTTCGCAAATAATTCTCTTGGGTTTATAAAAGCAGCACCCGCTAAACTTTGAAGGATGCTATGCGATATCAAAAAACACAAGAACAACAACAACAAAAAATCGAAAAAGTCTATCCAAATCAACCAAAAACTTAAAAATCCTTCAAAATGACGGAGTTTGGCTAAAAACACAGTGACCAGCTTTACGGGCCTTTCATCCACATTAAATGTACAAAAATCATGGGTCCGCCATGACTAAAATGTTAAAATGAAATTTTTATTATTCAGATTGATTATTCAACACAATGAATATAAAAATTTAACATGATTTATACGGACGACTTAATTTTTATAAACGTTTTAAACTATATAATTAAGTAATGAAAAAATAATTAAACAATCGTAGATGGTTGGTTGTGTTAATTAGTATCTTTTTAGCATCTAAACCTATTCTTGGATCTTGAGCCCAGAGAGAGAGAGAGAGAAAAGATATTAAATGTCCATTTTGTTCCCCAAAACAATAAACATATCTAATTACATTAGAAGAGTACTCGTGCAATGCAGTGAGATAAATCTTCATTTGAATGTTTAGTTTTTATGATGTCTCTATCGATAAAATACAATTTTATGTAGTTTTGAAAAAACGATAATGTTTTTATTATTGAATGAAATATAAATTTGAAAATAATAAATTGATATTAGTATCAAATTAACTATTTAATAGTTATTTTTTTGTTGTAACTTATTTAATTCAATTTTTTATTATAAGTTAATTTAGATTTAATAATATAATTTTTTATAAAGATAATAATTAAACATTTTGTTAGAATTCAATTGTTATCTTAATTATATTTTAGATTTTCTATATTTAAAATAAATGTTTATCTTGTGTTTTGATTATGTCTATATGCAAGTTAGTTACACAAATTTAAAAATGAAGCTTCAATAAGTTGCACTTATGTAAAATTACTTGTAATCTTGAATTTTAAGTAATATGTATCAATAAACAAAAATTTATGCATAAAAATGATTTTTAAAAGTTTTTATCAAATGTTTTATAATATATTATATATAAATAACAATCTATTTTCATAAATTTTTTATTATAAAATTGTATTTTAGTATCTTTATTACAAAAATGTATTTTCAAATTATTTTTTTATTAAACATTGTAATTTAATTTTTTTTTACCTATTATAATATTGGTTAACTTTTTAATGTAAATTTTACTCATTATACCCGATTTTCCATGTCACCTCACTGTCCACGTAGCTATCCACATGTATTATAGCTTATGTGTCATTTTTTATTATAACATTGTACTTTTAAAATTATTTTATTATAACATCTAGTAGTTCTTATTACAACATTATTCTTTTAATTTTAATATTTTATTATTTAGACGTTTTACATATCATTTAATAAATATATTAAATGAATTAGAAAATTTATAAATTATTCATTAATATACCAGTATTAATAAAACTAGTATAATACAACTTATCTCGCTAACATTTGTACAAATTTTTTTTTTTGAAAAATAAATAAGAAATTTTACTTTTTTTACCAAATAAATATTACCTTCTAAAGAATATACCATCTTGTATAAAACCTTTATTTGACACATAAATATATTAAATTAATTAGATTTTTTTGAATTATTCATTAATATAACACTATTAAAAAATTATAGATCACAATTTATCTCGTTAACATCTTTTAAAAAAGTTTAAAATATATGTATTTTTTTAAACAAAATAAAATAAGAAGTGTTATCTTTTTTTACAAACAAAATAGTTATTTTGAAAACAATATATCATATTTATTTAACAAATATTTTACTTAAAATATTTAATTTACATGCAATTTAATAAAAAAATAAAAAAAATGTTTTTCGATCATACCAATGATAAATAATAATCACTAAAAATAATTTAAAATAGGTTTTTTTATTTTTCTTTATTTTAGATATGTCATCAACATCAACTCATTGAAACCAAACAAACAAGAAAAAGTAAGAGGCTATTAGTAGTTGCTGAATGGTTTGGTGCATAATGATTAAGTGGTCAAAATGATTAAGAGGCTCTCAATGATATAGTACAAAATGAAATATAATTGTTTGGCAATTGTTTACAATGAAATTAGAGTGCTTAATGGTTAAAAGATATCCATTATACAAAATCATTTAAAAAGTTTTAAAACCATTAAAAACATACATTTTTTTTTTATTAAACAAGCTTCACTACAATTAAAAAAATACAATGCCCACCACCAACTATTGGTGCTACTATATGATAGAGTGGGGTTAAATGAAAGGTAATCACCACCACCAACTATTGGTGCTACTATATGATATGATAATAAATCCCTCAAACAATGGAGGATGATTCAAGAGTGGACCACCCTAATAATCATTGCTATAACCTTTATGAAGCTCATTGTTGTTTCATTTTTAACTTTTTTTTTATTAACTTAGATATCTAACCAGCTATGTGAGTCGACTAATTTTCAGGACGATCACTTGTTTTGCAGATAGTCCGGAGTCACCGCATTTAAACCTCCGTGACTACAAGGGAATTTTTATTCTTCCTTGGATTTGAACCTGGGACCTCCAGGTACTTTTGACCTTTGGAGCTAAGTTCAAACCAATCAGGCACCACCCTTGTGGTTACATTTTTAACTTATTATGTGTAACTTTACTTTGTTACATTGTGTTATAACTATATAAACCATTCAATCACTAGTGAGAGGTAAAAACTTTGTTTTTTGATGTGTATGAAGAAGTGATACCTGCTAACAGATTTGAGAACGGTTTCGTCGTAATATGAGACGTATATTAATGTGAGATTGTATACTGATAGTTTGAATTATATTTCAGTAAAAATTTAATGAATGAATTATTGGAAGAAACCATATTGAAAATGAAGGAGTAGATTACAGATTTCGTTCATGGGTTGGTGTAATTTGTTCCTCTTTTGAAGAAATGTGGTTTCATAATTTCTTCCTGTTATGAAGAAAACCCGGTTTTGTAATTTGTTTATTTTTTGAAGAAAACTAGGTCGATGAACTTTTTGTATAACATATAACTTCTTACTTTTATAACTGATTTAATTTATGGTCCTTTTTGTTTTTACCTTTGTCAGTATCTGGGTTTGTTTGACGCAGTAAGAGCTATTGTTTGTGTTCACCCTCAACCATAGAAGATGATCAGAGAAGGGATGGGAGGATCGAAGGTGGGGTTTAAGTATTTCTTTTTGTTTTTTTGATTGTCTTACTCATATGTATATAGTATTTTATCAACTTATATTTTTTTTTTGTAAAAGATAAAACAAACTGACTGAAATGCCATTTAATTGATAAAAAAGTGAAAAGAAAAGTAAAAGGGTTATTTGCTTACTTCTCAATAGTTTCATTAAGAGACAACATCTGAATTGTTAAGAAATGAATCTTGTTTGACAAAAAACAAAAATATGCCTTTTAATGATTCCACAACCCTCTGAATGATTTTGTATCATGGACATCTCTTAAACATTCAGTGCCCTAATTTCATTATAAACAATTACCAAACAATTATAATTCATTTTGCACTATATTATGAGAGCCTCTTAATTATTTTGACCACTTAATCATTTTGTATCAAACTATCAACAATGCCAAACAAGCCTATGAAAGATAAGATGCCTTGATTGGACAAAGATGAAGGTAAAACAAGAGTAAACTACAAATTTCGTCCCCATGGTTTGTCAAAAATAACAATTTTTATCCATGCAGTTTCAAAACTACGAAATATCTATCATGATTTGTAAAAACATTCGGATTTGGTCCATTCCTCTAACAACCATTAAAAAAATTCGTTAAATGAGGATATTTTCGATATTTTATCCATTTTTTTGTCATTTACCAATCAAAACCACATGGATCAAAACCGTAAAATCGATTTTGATTGGGTAAAAGATAAAAAAATCGATAAAATGACGAAAATGCTCCCCATTTAACTAAATCTTTTAACAACCAAGGATTAAATCTGAAATGTTTTTACAAACCATGACAGACATCTTGTAATCTCAAAATTATCCAAAAACAAAAAATTTATTTTTACAAACCACGAGGACCAAGTTTGTACGAATGTTTCAAACCACCTTCAACGTAACTGGGCTTGCAGGACATGGGCCTTGGCTCGATAAACATGGGCCTTATCAAAATAAATTGGCCCAATATATATGAACCACTGAGCCAGTAACGTAATCGGGCTGCATTAAATGGGCCTGGGCCTCTACGGCCCTTTGCTGATCTTTAAAGGGCTTTTACGCAACTCAGAAGCTTAAATCACCCTAGGGTTTTCTGGATCAACAGGACCGGCGGCAAACTTCTTACTTTCTAGGGCTCACACGCTGCGAAGAAATTTTGTTCTTCAATTCAGGTACGACGATCATTCATCTTCTTCTTCTCTTCCTGTTAATTTGGATCTGTTCTGATCTGATTGTGTTTGTGTTTCTGTTTTGATCGACGTGTTGATTTGTTATTGTTATTGTGATTTTGTTTTTCTTTTTAACAGAGAAAGATGTCGATCGGTGAGCTTGCTAGCACTTACGCTTGTTTGATTCTTTCTGATGATGGCATCCCTATCACTGTAAGTGACTTCTATTTCGACGGTATATGCAAAAACATTAGATTTTGGTTTGTGCTTTCCGTTTTTGTGTATTTTCTATGTCTTCTTGCTAGAATGATGTAAGATACTTGTGCCAATTAGGTTAATCGCAATTAATTTTGTGTTTCGCCATTCGTATATTTATGTAATGTAGGAGGTCACGGTAATTTCAAACTCTTAAATCGTTGTATTTTGAAGCTACAGTTGTATTTTTCTATTTTGAACTTATGATTGATGGTTGCACGTACACATGCTTATACGAAATGATGTTAATTGAGACACTGCATGTGATTGATCAATATGTGTTTTGTGGCTGGCGTTTATGTTGAACAACTTTCTCTTACTTTCTCATGAGCACAAAATGTTTAAGTATTGCTGTCCGACGGACAGATTTTTTACATAGAAACGGATTGATTGCATAAATTGTTTGAGAATAAATTTATACCATAGTTGGCTTTGCTCATACTACAAGAGAAATGATGATATTTGTGATGCTCATGATAGGAAAACACATCCTTCAGATTTGATGTTAATGGGTTGATTTTCACTTTAAAATGGATTGATCGCTTTAACAAGTTGAGGAAATTATGATGCCTATAGCGCTCTTCAATTTTGTTTGGCATACTACACTTGTGAAATCATGTGTGGGTTTGTGATGAAATTCGTATTATGTTGGATTTGGAGAAGCTGTGGGTGTAACATTAATCATGTGTTGGATTTGTGGTTTTGAGGAAAGAACTATAAACTTGAAATTGAACATGTCTGTGCCTACATCCAAACATGCTATACATTTTATTTCGTAGTTATTTGTCTTGCTAGAATTTGCAGAGAAGTATATATGATTCAATTGCATCTTCTGTGCCCATTGTTTCTTGCAGGCTGAGAAGATTGCGACCATCTTGAAGGCAGCCAATGTTCAATGTGAATCTTACTGGCCGAGTTTGTTTGCTAAGCTAGCAGAGAAGAAAAACATTGAGGATCTCATTGTAAATGTTGGTGCTGGTGGCGGTGGCGGTGCTGCACCTGCTGTAGCTGCTCCTGCAGCCGCTGCTGGAGGTGCTGCCGCTGCTCCTCCACCAGAAGAGAAGAAGGTAACATAACAATCGTATTATTAAATATTTCTTTTTATTAAGACTTGCATCTGTTTGAAATTATAACCTTATCTTTTCTTTCATTCTACGTACACAGGAGGAACCCAAGGAAGAGAGCGATGATGATATGGGATTTAGCTTATTTGATTAGAAGCTTTATATTGGTATGCTTTAGTTAAACAGTCAATCTATTGCAAGACTTTGAGCAGTTAATCTTAGCTCTGCCACCTATTTCTCTTTTGCGTTCTTGTAGGAGTTTCGTACTGGGTTTGTTTAAGAAGCATTTTTGTCCAATCGTTTTAAATTTCAGCTTGAATATACCTTTTTTACTTACATCGATAGGATGGAAGAATCCTTTTGTGATCACAATGGTATAAAACCATTTGGTGATTGGAATTTCGATGGGTCTATGATTGTGATCCACCTATATTCTGTTGATGTGGCTCCATCCAACATTGTGCATTTAGTTGAGTCTATGATTGAGAAACATAAGTATGGGTCTCTCTTTTAAGCGACCCAAGGACCATTTACCAGAACGTATATATGGTAGATGTTAACCGTGGCCGGTGGCTGGATCCATGACGTCAGGTGATAAGGGGGCACACCTAGGGGTATAAGAAAACACATTCGCACCGAATGACACCGAATGAGGTTTGGGTTCTGTTGAATTTGTTATTAGAAACCAATAACAACAGGAGCACATATTCTGACAAAGTTGACAACCGTTTAACGTATGACTTAACAGAAATAATAGAAACATTTACATTGACTGATCTTTGAGTTAAAGTATACATTTATTGTCATTAAGATCCAACGAGTATATGCAGACAGGGCTCCTTGACGATGAACCAATACCAAGAGAAGATGATTGATAAAGAATGTGTCGTTGGTATTGAGGCATTGTAAGTACAATCGTGAAATTCCCACAATCTTTTAGAATGTCCCAAACATGATAGAACTTGAACCCTTTATTGTAGTATTTATGCGGTCTCAAACTCTCAACATCTCTTTTGCTTCATCCAACTATGATAAATTAAATATCATTGGTGGTGCCTGATTGGTTTTAACTTGGCTTCAAAGGTTCAAAAGTACCTGAAGGTCCCAGGTTCAAATCCAATGTGGAATAAAAATCCCCCTGTAGCTATGGAGATTCAAATGCGGTGACTCCGGGCTATCTGCAAAGTAGGTGGTCGTCATGAGATTAGTTGTCTCGCTTAACGGGTTGGACATTCTGGTTAATAAAAAAAAATATCAGCAATATTAGTAAATACATGCGATATCTTGTTCATAAACACCATGTAGATTTTCATTTTGAATTTTCTCGGTACACCCTCATAATTTGACACTTGCTATAAGGATGACCAACGTTTGCGTTTCTAACAATCTTCTTGGTGGACATTTGCTTCTAAACGACCCACATGCATGATATTGAGTTGCAATTATCGTCCAAAATTTATCAGTTAATTGGTGTATACCTGCTATTGAATTTTGAGATATGTCAAGATACATATGACATAACTATATATCATCGTTATGTTATTCGAGTAGGACGAAGTTTGCACCGGTGACATTTTTAAAGAAATTGTAATTTAAAAAAAAGATTATTGGATTGAAGATAATAAGAGTGATTTGGTCTATTAGGGTCATCCACTATTTATATACAAAATTTTCCACACCACCTCATAAAATATATCAAGTTAGATAACACACTTTCGAATTCCTTTTATTGTACCCCTTACAAGTTAGGGGGTGTTTGGGATTGCTTTTGTGAAACAACTTATGTTTTTTTTATAAAAACATTTATCAATTTATTATAAGTCAGAAAGGTTTAACTTTTTTTAAAATCTTTATTACCGGTTTGGCACCGGTATAAATTATATATCAAAACACTCAAAAATGCTTATTAGCAGTAACACACCAGAATAAGTCAATAAGTTATTTTTATAAGCAATCACAAACACCCCCTTATTATATCATAATAGACTACAAACTTTCCACTTTTCCACACACTTCAAAGTTCAGAAAAATGTTGTTATTTTTTGACGAGACTTCCATTAAAGAAATTAGTTTATTTATTTATTTTATTATTATGATGATTATTTATAAATTACAGATATCGTATTAAAAATGGTATAATAATAATAATGAAATATGTTTTTTTATATGGACCACTGATTTGGTGTTTTATATAAAATATGGTCGAAGTTGAATTATCTTTAGGCATTTATTAACCTGAATATCTAACCCATTATGCGAGCCGACTAATTCCAGGACGACCACCTGCTTTGCAGATAACCCGGAGTTAGGGGTGTTCGCGGTCCGGTTTGGGCGGTTTAAGCCCTCAGACCACAAACCAAACCGTAATGGCGGTTTGTAAAAATTTCAGACCGAGCGATTTGAAACCAAGTGCCCAGACCGGTCAAACCAGATCACGAAAAGGCGGTCTGGTCTGACCGGTTTAGGCGGTCTGGGCCTTTAATGGGCTTTAAACATTAAAACCAAAAAACCTAGTGTCATATGTACTATTATAAATTTGAATAATAAATATTAATCACCCATCATAATCATCTTCCATGGATTAGGCGACATCGCGACGATTAGGAAAGAAAAAGAGGTGGATAGTGGATACCGTGGACAGTGGATTACTGGATGTTTGGATTAGCCAATTAGGTAAGGAATTACCAAATTAGGGATTTAGATTTAGGGGATTTAGGAAATCTTTTGGATAAGGCTTTATGTTTGGGCTGAATAATTATAGCTCATAAGGTATAAATTAAAGTTGGGTATTTAATTGGGCT